ACGGCCCAAGAGGCGCCCAAGATGGCCCAAGAGGGCCCCAAGACGGGCCCAAGAGGGGGCCCAGAGGGGGACCACGAACCGCAAGCTCGAGCCTTCCGCCCCAAGAGGCCGCCAGGAGGCCCCCAGGAGGCCCCTCAAGAGGCCCCAGGAGACCCCAGACGTCCAAGGACGCCCCCAAGACGCCCCAAGAAGCCTCCAACATGCGTCCCAAGAGGGCCCCTAGACGCAAAAATTGACCCATTCCCTTCGTAAAACGTACATTTTCACAAAGTCGCCTTTTGGGCTTTCCGACGTTACAGGACGGCCCAAGAGGCGCCCAAGACCGCCCCAAGACGGCCCAAGAAGCTTCCAAGAGGGCCCCAGGACAGCCCAAGAGGGCCCCAAAGCGGCCCAAGAGGCGCCCAAGATGGCCCAAGAGGGCCCCGAAACGGGCCCAAGAGGGGGCCCAGAGGGGGACCACGAACCGCAAGCTCGAGCCTTCCGCCCCAAGAGGCCGCCAGGAGGCCCCAAGGAGGCCCCTCAAGAGGCCCCAGGAGACCCCCAAGAGGCCCAAAGGAGGCCCCGAGAAGCCCCAAATCGGCACCCAAAATGCTTCGAACCTGCTTCCAGGAGGCCCCCGACAGGTTCAGAGGCTCCCGAGAAGCTACGTCAAACTCCCAGCGAGCGACGGGACGAGGCCCCCCACAAAATCACAAGAGGCTCCACAGGCGGCCCAAGAGAGCCCCAAGATGGGCCCGAGAGGGATTCCACGCAAGTTGTTATTGTATGGCTCGGGAAAGGACGAGGATGAGGAGGAAGACGAGGAGGAGGAGGAGGAGGAGGAGGAGGAGGAAAAGGAGGAGAGGGAGGAGGAGGAAGAGGAGGAGCAGGAGAAGGAGGAGGAGGGGTGCTGTGGACGCCGCCGAAGCTTCCCGGGGAGTCCTGGGGGCACCTTGGTCTAGGGCCCCTCGTCGCAGCGGCTGGGCGCAGCCCGAAACGTTGGAGCGTTCGGAGTCCCGGGGTCGATTTTGAGACGACTTTGCGTTTCCAGTGTCTCGCCCTTCTCCTCGACAGTCGAAGGCCAGACTGACAGATTGCCTTGGGTTCCAGGGGCCACTCTGGCGTGGCCAGGTTGGAGGTTTTTCCTTGCTCGCCAGTCTGTAACCTCGCTGGCTCCCTCGCCAGATTGCCAACTTTTGCCAGAATTGGGCCGCCAGATTGGCGCCAGATTGGCTTCGACTTCGCGTCCCAAGATTTCAGTGTCTCGCTCTTCTCCTGGACAGTCGAAGGCCAGACTGACAGATTGCCTTGGGTTCCAGGGGCCACTCTGGCTTGGCCAGGTTGGAGGTTTTTCCTTGCTCGCCAGTCTGTAACCTCGCTGGCTCTCCGCCAGATTGCCAACTTTTGCCAGATTGGGGCCGCCAGATTGGCGCCAGATTGGCTTCGACTTCGGGTCCCAAGATTTCAGTGTCTCGCCCTTCTCCTGGGTAGCCGAAGGCCAGACTAACATATTGCCTTGGGGTCCAGGGCCACTCTGGCGTGGCCAGGTTGGACATTTCTACTTGCTCGCCAGTCTGTTACCTCGCTGGCTCTCCGCCAGATTGCCAACTTTTGCCCGATAGGGGCCGCCAGATTGGCGCCAGATTGGCTTCGACTTCGCGTCCCCAATTTCTTATCACAACGATTCCTGGGCCTGTGACTCGACAGAACCTAAGCGCGCGCGAAGCGCGCGCGTGGTTCTAGTATATATATATATATATATATATATATATATATGTGTCCCCAAGGGGGTACGATCGAAGACTAAGAAGGCGGGTACCGACTGTTCGAGATATACGTGTTGAATGGCACGCGGACAGGTACGATATAACATAATTAAATTGATTGATTGTTGTTCTTAGCTTTGTCTACGCTCGCACCCTGGTCTTGATGCTCAAACTGTGCCCCTGGCCCCCGGGTTACAACAACAACGGCTCTCGCTTGAGACTTCCTCACAATTTAGCCAAGACCCCCGCTCCCGCCCGAGACTTCCTCGCATTTTATTCAGGAATCGCGCTCTCGCTTGGCACATCCTTACAATTTATTCAGGAATCGCTCTCCAGGCGCTCTGGAGTCGCGCTCTCGCTGTAGACTTGCTTGCATTTTACTGACGAATAGCGCCCTTGCGTTGGAATTTCTTGAAATTTACTCAAGCGCCGCGCTCCCGACACCCAGGCACCAAGGAGTCGCGCTCACGCTTAGGACTCCCTCACAGATTACCTTTGAATCGGGATCTCGCTGCCCTTCGTGGCCCCGTTGCAGCCCTTCGTGGCCCCCTCGCTTTGTTCAGGGGCCCCGTTGCAGCCCTTCGTGGCCCCCTCGCTTTGTTTCGTGGCCCCGTTGCAGCCCCTCGTGGCCTCCTCGCTGCCCTTCGTGGCCCCGTCGCAGCCCTTCGTGGCCGCCTCGCTTTGTTTCGTGGCCCCGTTGCAGCCCTTCGTGGCCACCTCGCTGCCCTTCGTGGCCCCGTTGCAGCCATTCGTGGCCCCGTTGCAGCCCTTCGTGGCCCCCTCGCTCCCCTTCGTGGCCCCGTTGCAGTTGCAGCCCTTCGTGGCCCCCTCGCTGCCCTTCGTGGCCCCATATATTATACCCTTCGTGGCCCCCGCTCGTTCGCGCCCGAGGTGGCCGCATATGCATGCGCTTCGTGGCCCCGCTGTCGCCGTTTGTGGCCCCATTCGCTGCCCTTCGTGGCCCCATTGCTGCCCTCAGTGACCCCGTCCTTGCCCTCCGCGGCCCACCATACGCATGCCCCTCGTGGCCCCCGCTCGTTCGCGCCCGTTGTGACCCCATGTGCATGCCCTTCGTGGCCCCGCTGTCGCCGTTTGTGGCCCCCCTCACTGTCCTACGTGGCCCAGTTGCTACCTCAGTGGCCCCATCGTTGCCTCCTGTGGCCCCGCATTATCTGCCCTTCGTGGCCCCCGCTCGTTCGCGCTCTTCGTGGCCCCATACGCATTCCCTTTGTGTCCCCGCTGTCGCCCTTCGTGGCCTACTTCGTGTCCTTCGTGGCCCTGCTGTCGTTCTCTCTCGATCTCGCTTTCGCTCGTCGTCGTCGTCGTCGTCGTCGTCGTCGTCGTCGTCGTGGTCGGTCCCCTGTCCGTCCCTCGTGGGGCCGGATCGACAGTCCGCGGCCGCCCCGCCGATCAGCGCTGCCGCTGGCCAGGCCGAGGGTCCGCGGCCGCCCCGCTGCTTGCCGGGGCCCGGCTTGCAGAGAAGAAACATATACCCCCCAAAAGGGAATCGATCGAAGACGAAGAGGGCGGGTATCGAGGGTTTGGGAAATACCCGTTATTGGACACTAGAGCAGATAAGGGCGAACAGTCTTAAAGTGATTGTTGTTGTTGCTGATGTGCTTGTTGTTATTGTTGTTGTTGGTGTTGTTGTTGCTGTTGTTGTTGTTGGTGTTGTTGTTTGTGTTGGTGTTCATGTTGTTTGGTTTTGTTTTCGTGTTGTTTTATCGTTGTAGGCGTTGTTGCTGACCTCTCACTACTGCAGAGTAATGATTGTAGATCCCCCCTCCAGGGCGCATTGTGTTTTTCTATGGAAGTGCCCTTCCCAGCGCTCGCACATTGTTTATTACCAGGGGGAGTCGAAAGTCTTGGGGCTCAGCATTGTGTCTTCGGCTCCCTGTTTACAACAACAGTGGCTCCCGCCTGATACTTCCTCACAGTGTATTCCCAAATCGCGCTCTCGCGCAGGACGTTCTTACAATGTATACGGAAATCGCGCTCTTGCGTGGACGTCTTTTCAATCTATTCAGACGCCGCGCCCTCGACATTCAGGAATCACGTTCTCGCTTTGGCCAATCGCACGATTTAATTGGGAATCGCGCTATCGCTCGAGACGTCCTCGCGATTCATGCAGGACCCCCCACGCTTCAGCAACCCGCCTGCTCGACCTGGCCGCCTGGGCCTGCCTTCGCGACCCGCCTGGCAGGGTCTACCCGCCCGATCTGCCCGTCTGGTTGTGCCATGTGTTTTCTGCTCCTAGCCCTCTTCCTGCTTCTCTCTCTCTCTCTCTCTCCCTCTCTCTCGTGCTCCAACCTCTTCCCTCCCCCTTCCATCCGTCTTCTCTTTCCCTGCTTTAGGGGCTGCGCTAAATGCACGTGGCAGGTAAGGAAGATGTGCCCCCAAGGGGGTAGGATCGAAGACGAAGAGGGCGGGTACCGAGGGTTTGTGAAGCATGTGTTGAATCATGGGTGAGCAGACAGGAGCGAACAGTCCTAAATGGATTGTTGTTGTTGCCGTCGTCCTCACCCGCGACCCGCCCGCGACCCACCCGAGACCCACCTGGCGACCCACCCCGCGAACCACCCGCGACCCACCCGCGACCCACCAGCGACCCACCCGCGACCCCCGCGCCCGCCCTCTCACTCCTATCTGCACCTGCGGGGCGCTGCGTATTCGAGCCGTCTTGGGCCCTGCCGGCAGCCTGGGCCATGAGAAAGGCCCGCGATCAGAGGCACCTCGAGGAGCGAAGCTCGACTAGACGTAAGAGTGACCTTTCGCCGGAGTGACCTTTGGTGCGGGCACAGATGGGTCACCATATCGCTGAAAACGAAGCAGGAGCAGCTGCTTGCGCGCCCAGGTTTGGTACCCCCGCGGCCCCCCAAAAGTCGCGCACCAAAGGTCACTCTTACCCAGGGTCACTCTTGCGTATAGCCGCGAAGCGTGGGGAGCGAGAATCATCGAGGCCGCTGGAGGCATTCGATCCGCATGGCCCCTGGGCGCCTGCCTGCAGAGCTCCCCGGGCGGCTCTCGAGGCCCTCTCGGCCCCCCCGGTGGCTATCCGGAGGCCTCTGGACCTAATACTACAGTCGAAGCCGATAGTGAGGATGGGTAGCCCTCCCTGGGGTACCCTTGCATCCTTGCCTTACCGGCTTGCATCCTGATGGCGCATCTTTGCTCGCAGTTTGATTGTGGGCCTTCCAGCACGCTCGAACGTGCTGCGGGCACGGTGGCGGATACCTGATGGTGGCATCGATCAAGGCAAGTTTTTCAGCGCTCGCCTGGTCTTCAGCCGTGCTCCTGCTGGTCGAGATCGTCTTCGCCCTGCTGCTCAACATTCTGCTGGAGGGCTTCTGGAATGACGCGGACAACCCCATGGAAGACCGCCAGGTGATTTTCCAGCATTTCGGCACCTTCAGCAAGTCGTTGCTGTCCATGTTCGAGATGCTTCTGGGCAACTGGTACTCCATTACACGCGAGCTCGTCAAGGTCAACGAGTGGTACATGGTACTTGGCGTGGGGCACCAGCTGGCCTTCGGCTTCGCCGTGATCGAGGTGCATGATGGGGACCTCGAAGCAATCAAACAATCAAACAACAAAATACAGCATCGACGCAGCTTTCTTTTGCCAGGGGACTATTTTTTATGTTTTTGTTGCGCAGCACCCCGCAGTTGCGGATAAGAGTGAGGGGGCGGTGGGGACGTCGCCAGTCTTCGAGACTCTGGACAAGCCCGCCGCAGGCGCCAAAGTTTCACACATTATACAACGAGCCCGCCGCAGGCGCCGATTTTTCCTTCAAACCAGTGTGAATCGGTCGCGGGTGGGTTGGGGGTGGGTCGCAAGTGGGTCGCTGGTGGGTCGCGGGTGGGTCGCGGATGGGTCGCGGGGTGGGTCGGGGGTGGGTCGCAGGGTGGGTCGCGGGTGGGTCGCGGGTGGGTCGCGGGGTGGGTCGCGGGTGGGCCGCGGGTTGGGTGTCGGGTGGGTCGCGGGATGGGTCGCGGGGTGGGTCGCGGGGTGGGTCGCGGACAAACAACAACAAACGCAACAACTACAACAACAACACCAGCAGCAGCAACAACGCAACAAACAGAAGCCTCACACCACGATTCTCACTTCAGCCACGCGCCCGGGGACAATGAATGACCGTTCGTCCCCAATGACCGACCGCTCGAACAGCATCGACAACCTCAATCAATGATAATTTCCAAGCATGCTGACGCATAGACAAACAATACAACATCAGAAAGCTGCGCGTGTAACCCTTCTTGGAGCATGCAGCAATCAATTTGCAGAATGCGAGCATCTACGTCATTAGTCAGCGTGTTGTTCTCCCATCTTGAGCGTCTATCTCATCAGCCAGGAGGACGTTCTTACATCTTTCCCCCGTGATCGAGGTGATGACAGGCGTGTTTCTTCACGAGACGTTCCAGGTGGCGTCGCTGGACGATGGCATCATGACGAACGAGACGAAGCGTGCGATCCAGAGGAACACCGAGAAGATGAAGCAATTTTTCGAGAGCGCGGACTCGAATGGCGATGGGTTCCTCGACAAGCAGGAGCTCGAGCAGGTGCTGCAACGGGCACGGGTCCAGGAGTGGCTCTCCGGAATGGGGCTCAATATTCCCGACGTGGTTACCGCGTTCACGGTGATGGACGAGAACGGCGACGGCTTGCTCAGTGCTAAGGATTGGCACGGCGTCGAACAGCGGGGCAGGGCGTTGGGAGCGGCCCTCTCAGAAGGCGGTGGGGGGGCGCCAGGAAGACGTTTGGAAGGCCACGAGGGCTCCTGAAGAGGCAGGGTGCCCTCTTAGAAGGCCGCCTTGCTTCCCTCCCCCGGCCCCGCCTTTGTGCGCGCCGCCGCGAGGAGTTTGTGGAGGGGGCATGGTACCTGAAGGGCCAGGCGAGGGCGATCGAGGTGGCCGTTCTCCGGAGTCTGCTGGAGCAGGTGCTTGCGAACACCAGGGGGCAACGGCGCCCGGAACCGGAGAGCGGCGAGGTCGCCGTCCAGCTGAAGTGACGCAGCTCGCTCCTGGTCTTAAGTCGGGCCTGTCCCTCTGCAGGAGGAATATTCAAACATAGTTAAAAAATAGTCAGGGGATTATTTTTGAGCATCTTTTGACCATTTTGAAATATTGTTGGTGCATTTTTTTTTATTTTTCGTCGAAAATTCCCCTGTAGGGGGACATGCCCGACTTAATCCTGGTCCCGTCCGTTGCTTCGCTCATCCTCCTGCTCCTCCCCTCCCAAAGCACCAACGCCTTTCCCCCCTCGTTCCAAACCTGTGCGTGACATCGCCTCGCCAACAGCTTCTACACTGCCGCAGCCATCGGCGCTGCGGTCTGCCCACCCTCGCCAATTATACTGCTGTGTCTGAAAGGCTCTCCTGCCAGCTTCCCAATCTTCGGTAATTTACTGCGTGCTTGTAGGTTCTTCTAGCATTCAGTGTGAGATTGCCGAAGTGCTCCCGACCTGCAATCTTCAAGCGCGTCCGCGTTGCCATCGGATTTTTTCTGGGAGGCTGAGTTAGGCGTTAGCCATCGGACGTGCGGTTCACCTCGTATCATTTCGGTTTCATTTGCCCTTATCTGGCTCAACCTGGCCCAACGATCCAGCCTGATATCAGGTTTCATGTCAGGCTTAATCCGGCGCTATGGCTCCACAGTTCGGTAGAATCGGCTTCCATCGTACCCATGAAGACCTCCCAGGGGAGCCAAGTCGGACAGGGCCAGGACGAGGATGCATGCGTTCCAGAGCGCTCCGGAACGCTCTAAGGGCGTTCCAGAACGCTCTGAGAAGGCCGCGGCGCCCGAGACATCCTCCAGAGCCGCCCAGATCTCAGAGATTCTCGATTTGTCCTCACCCGGATCTATCTTCGTCCTGGTTTTGTTCGGCCGCGAGCGAGGGGGGGAAGTGAGGAGGGGAAGGCCTACTCAGAAGACGGCGGGACTTATCAGAAGCCCTCTAGCCGTCCGAGAGGTTTTTTTCTTGTCTTCGGGGGAGGTTTTAAACAATTATCAGAAGACTGGGGGACTGCCCAACATTCTGAGAAGGCTCCTTCTCATTTCCGCCCTTCGTTCGCCGCCGAGTTGTCTTACCTAGAGACCTGCTGGGTGCCGTCCGAGACCTCGCTTTTCCCGTCGCACTGCCGAGCGTGGCATGCAACTTCCCTTTTGCCTGCGAGGGCCACTCCCCATTCCTGCGCGGCGCCTCGGATTTGCATCGGGAGGACGAGGAGGAGGAGGAGGAGGAGGAGGAGGGAGGGAGGGAGGGAGGGAGGGGCTCCGGGCCCTTGCGCGCGCCCCCATTATCCTGCGTACGCTGGCAAAGTATCAATGCACACTTGCTCTTGCACTTGTCCGCGTGCGACCTGGATGTTCATGCGCAGTTGGATGCCGGTTTGCGGCGGAGCATGGGGGCGCGCGTCATCACCGTGATCATAGCCATCACCGTCATCGCCATCGTCATCATCATCATCCGCGGAGCATGGGGGCGCGCATCATCATCATTATCGTATCCATTGCCGTCATCGCCATCGTCATCATCGTCCTCAGTATCATCATTATGATGACCACCGCCTACATGTGATCATCGTCGTCATCATCATCTTCATGATGATCGACCCGTGCAACCCTACACGTTTTCTTTCCCTTCTACCCGACGTGCCCTCAAGCCGGTGAGCGCCACGGTCCGCGGGGGGGGTGGCCTGGGCCTCATGGCGCGCCCCCCGGTGGAACCGGGGCACGCTTCGGAGGACCGCTGCGGACGAAGGGCGGCACCGGCTGCGGCTGGAGGAGGGGTTCGCCCCCTGGCTTGGTTTTGCCTCCCTCCTCCTGGACCCGAGCTGGCGGGCAGGGCCCGTGATGAGTCTCATCCCGCCGCGGCCGTTCGACTACGGCAGCTCCGCGGGGCACGCCCCCTCGGACTTGCGGACGCGACTGGAGGGGGGAAAGGACGGAGAGGCCAACAGTGGGGAACGACGGAAGAGAGAGAGAGAGAGAGAGAGAGAGAGAAGAACGATGGGACGAGAGGGAGGCACGACGGTAGGGGCGGGAGGAACGACGGGAGGCGGACAGGGACGAACGACGGAGGAGAGGGAGGAACGACGGCAGGGGGGAGAGGAACGACGGGAGGAGATGGGACCAGCCTGATCGCCCCCAGGAGTCTGTGTTCCTTGGCTGCGGCGGCGCAGCCCCAGTGGAGGCTGCGCGAGGAGGTCTCTCGCGCGTGCGCTGCCCAGGCCCGCGCCCGCCAGGCTCTGCAGCACCGCGCATTCCTAGAGGCGGGCGAGCCCGAAGAGCGCGGGGGCCACTCCAAAACGGAAAGCTGGAGGCGCCAAGCCGCGGACGCCGCCGCACGGCAGCACCGTCGCCAGGCCGAGCGCAGGAATGAGCGCCGCCGCCACTGGACTGGACTTCCGCAGCAGGTCGCGTCGGCACCAGTGCAGACCGCCCGTCCAATCCACCCCCTAGCGTCGGAACACCAAGAAACGGGTGGCCCGCGAGGAGGGGGAGTTTGTTGGGGGGTGCCGCGCGGACCCCGCTCGCCCCCTGCACGGGCCTACAGGGCGCCTACGTCGGGGCCTTTGGGCGCAGAAATCAACGCCCCCTTCGACGCCCCCCCCGTGCTTTTCGGTCCGCCCGATGGACGAGCTGCGCTTGCTCAGCGCCATCCGCTCCCTCCCCGCGATGACTTAGAGCGATTGGGCGCGCTTGCCGGAGGCCGCCGACTGCGCGCGCCTGCCCGACGCGCGCCTTCGAGGCGCGCGTGACCGTCTGACCGCCTCGGGCGCGCACAGGCGGGTTGCCGAGTGGGCGCGCGCCTTGCCGCGCGGCGCGCCGCGGCGCCTGCGGGAAGCGCGCGGCGGGCCGTTCGACACGCCCTTGTAGTGCGACGTCCTCCTGGGTTGCCGCTCTCTGAATCCGCCCGACCGGCAGCGGGCGCCAGCTGCGTGCACTATCCACGTGAGTTGCGCGGTCATCGGGTGGAGGCGGGACGCCTTTGAACGCTTCGTCCGCGACGGCGTTGACGACGCTTGAACGCTGCAAGACGGGCCGTTGCTTTTCCCGCCGCGCAACGGGTGCCATGGCTTGTCTTATGTCGGATGCAGCAGAGAACCGGCGCGGTCGCCGAGGCACGTGGAAGAACAGTTTTTGCCGCTTCGGACTCTTGGTTCTGATGATGTTGATGAGGATGATGGTGTTGATGCTGACTTTGATGGTGATGGTGATGGTGATGATGATGCGGAAGCTGATGCTTGTGAT